TATATATATATATATATATATATATATATATATATATAGAAGTAAGTGTATATAAGGGAGCATTTCTAAAAATGGCTAGAGGTGAGCGGGATGCCACTGTGTTTGATTTATTACATGAGCAGTATCTTAGCAAATTGAAAAGATAAGAGGCTCTTATTTAATATTCTAACTTGTCAATATCAGTAATTTCAGTTACTAATTTGTACGAAACTATAGATTTAAGTATTTTGACATCCCAAACAACTAATTTGAACCAATGTTGCATTTAACATACCATGTGACACACAAAAACAGATATTTAACTGTATTAACACTTACCTTTAAATTAAGAAATAGAAAAATGTATCATACTAAAATTTGAATTATACTCTACAGTTTGATACCAAACTTATTGACATAAATTCATGAAATAGTAATTCAATAAAATTTTGAATACGAGTCAACAAACGCAATATTATGGTCTTTGACCTGTGACCCATCTGGAAAGGGTTAATATCATTGAAATTAGGATTTCTTTGAAGTTTGTTTTTTAATGCTTGAGGGGAGAGGGAAGGTTAGACATTGAATATAACTGTGTTCCATAAACTTTAATTCTATGATATCTAATTTTACTCTTACCTCATTTTCATATCACTTGATTCAGATTCTGTTTTCAGCAATTTTGTCTGGCATTTTTCAAGTTTAGTAGCTATTTCCTCACATTCAGTTTTCTGCCATTTAGATAATGCATATGTTTATGAAAACAATAAACTGCATGTGTAATAATTACTGATCCTAAAAATACTTATTGTAAGGAACCCTCATAATATATTCTAGTTATAAAACAAATATATTAATGAGCTTCACATACTTACATATGTAATGATTCTTTGATACTTTTGACTCACGATAATTAACATAGACAAACACAATATTATAGAGAATAATAGCAAATCACAAAAATAAAAAAAGACTCAGTTAAACAGAAACCCCAGAATGAAAAATAGCAGTAATTTTAGGGATCTTTTACAGAATATCTACAAAAAACAACAATATAAAATGTAAGATGTTATTATTAATATTGGTTAATGGACCTGCATAAAACAGAAATATTAATTCCAAAACTTGAAGATTTTGAATTAAGTATACAGGAGTTTATATTACTATAACTAACACACTAACTGAACAGGTATTTGGATGGAAAGATAGTTTCAGTTGCAAAAAACCTCATCCCACTTAGCTGATTCTGTTTAATAGTTTTAGTAGCTTCGAGGCAGTGAACACCAGGTCTCTGGAAGTCTTCCAGACCTTCATATCATCTGCATATTGATATAAGTGTGTAAGAGGTGTAACTGGTTTCAGAAGGTCATTAATGAATAGTGTGTAGAGAAGTGGGCTGAGAACTGAGCCTTGGGTACCCTGGCATTGAAAGTTGCGAAACTGTGTTTTTGATTCTGACATTGGCTATTCTATTTTCTAGAAAACTGTTAATTTTTTGTTTGAAAAAGATGAGTATTTTATGTTTGATGAGTTTGTATTTCAGGCACTTGTGCAATCCAGTGTCAAAAGCTTTTTGAATGTCAAGGAAAGTAGCTACTGTGACTTGAAATTTATTAAATTTGTTCAAGGTTGATTTTATTAATCTGACGAGGTGGCCAGTAGATTGTCTATTTTTTCCTATTGACATTTTGAATGTTTGATAGTGAAGTCTAGTTACAATTATTTTTTGAGAAGTTTACCTATGCAATTTATCCAGGTTTTTAGAACTTTGGCCTTTTTTAAGAATTACAGTTATTATGGCTGATTTGCACATTAGTACGTAGCCTGAGAAAAGTGAAAGATTAAACAAGATTTTTAGATTTCCCATGAGTCTGAGCAAAGCATGCTTAAATATAATGTTGGGGATGTTACCTTCCTCGGTTGCAGTATTTTTTAATTTGTGGAGGTGTATTTTGATTTCAGGAGTGGTTATAGGAGTGGAGATGCTTGTTGTGGATAAGTTTTGATTTTTGGAAGATATGTTTTCCAGGAAGGTGACTGTAAAGAAATCTTGATTATCCTTACTTAAGTTATCTATTTTTCGTAATGAGGGTTGTGGAGTGGGGTGTAAGAAACCTGTTCCAGAAATATTGTGAGAACAGGTTAGCTTTCTGCAACTCTGTGGTGGCTGTCATGTTTTTGTAATTAATACTGCCAAAATTGTTAGTGTCACGCCATAGGTTTTGAATGTTTTCCAAAACAAAGCAGATTCGGATCTGAGTGTGTCCAGTCTATTACAGAAGTTATTCCAGTTGTTCTTTTGCTGTATTTTAATTAGTTTAAGGTCTTGATTTTGGCTCAATTAATTAAGTTTCACAGCTGGATTTTTTGGTTGTATTTCAGAGTTTAGATTCCATGAGTTTGGTGTATATTTCCAAGTTTTATATGCCATGGTTTCGTTAATAGTTTTAGTAATTGCATAAGTAATATCTTTATAGTATTGTTCTAATTCATCATTGGAGTTCACTGTAATCTTAGGTTCCAGAAATGTATGTTCAAGACAGTTGTTAAATTTTATTCAGTTCATTTTGCTGAAATTTGAGGTGTTGCAGATGTTGTTTTCATTAGGATGGCATGACCTGTGGCTGGTTTTAATTTGTAAAGATATAGGGTACGATCGATGTTTTTAAACGTTTTAAAGACTGTAGGACGACTGCTAGGTCAATTATTCTTTGGGTTTTTTTTTATGCTCAGAACCCCTAGGTATTTTATATAGAAAATGATTTATTTCATCAATTTCTTGTAATAACCAAAAACATACAGCCAGTAGTGATTGGTGAGAAAATAAGTTCATAATCTGACAGCTGAAAAAATTCAATCATTATATTCTATAAACACAATTACATGTATCATCCCTGAAACCATTGAAAATTGTAGTGTACAATACAAATACTTAAGGTTACATACTTATTTTCTTTTATTCACTTTCATTTAGTTGTTCAGTAACAGAGGATGTAAGTATATAGTTTGACTACTTATGAATAAATGCTCTTTAACAGTTTTTCTGTCACATGGTTTAAAATGGTTAAAACTGATTAAAATTATTTTTTCTAATAAAACCAAATAGTTTGTAAATTCAAAACATTAGAGAAATCTTCACACAAGTTTTTATCAGTTGTACATGGTAAAACTTTTGTTTATTTCATTCACAATGTTTCACCAAGTTTACCTGGTATCATCAGGTGGGATACAAGATCTGATGTTAACAGAATTTAATTCAAAAGAGAATAATGTGAGAATCTATAACAACAGTAATCTACAAGTATACGACTAAACAATTGCAACAATAAAGTAACCTATCAATAAACTGTCAAATGTATGTATAATAAATAAAACTTTTATAAACCATTTTTTTTTATTTCAATATGTCAATGACATTTTTTCTTCAGTCTTCGATAACCTTAACATTATTCACAAGTTTTTATCACATCTATACTAGATACACCCAAACATAAAATTCATGATGGAAAAAAAGAAGTTAATGACAAACTGTCATTTCTAAATGTTTTTTTTTAAAAAGACAAACACAGGCTTCCAAGCCTCTGTATTTCATAAGAACATTCACACTGGATTTTATGTTCCTTGGAATTCCCTTCACGACCAATGCCAAAAGCTAGGTATATTAAAAGGTGCTATTTGTACAAATAAAACCATAAGTTCCAATGTAAGCTGTCTCAAAAACGAAAATGAAAACCTTATATTTCATTTTTGTGTACAAAACAAATTCCCTTCCACTGTTGTTAATAAAGTAATTGCTTCTTTTGAAAATAAGCCACAAACTGACATGGAAAATGATTCTTCCAAATATGTCCTGTCACTTGTATTTTACCCTTCATCCCAAACTTATCTCCTGCTATCAAAAAAATCTAGTTAAAAACAGCCAGAGTATAAAATTGACATTAAAGTACAATTTATATTTTTACTTGGAAAAAATAAAAACTAGGTCACCTGCTATCCGAAAAGTATATGGATAATGACACTTCAGGAAATATGCATGCAATTGAATGTACAGATTGGAAAATCTGTTATACTGGTGAGACAAACAGACAACTTTCTACTCATTCGTGGGAACATTTAAAATCTCCATCTCATGTTTTTGAACACATGGCTAGGAAAAATCATTCTTTTGATTCTTCTCAGCAGAAAAGACAACATTAATAGATGAAAAAAAGGCCTATTAATAAAAACAATCTTATTCTTAACAAATATAAAGATGTTCATTTATATCTATTTTAATTATTCCCTTCTCTCTTGTTTATAGAACAAATCTCAATACTTAGACTCAGGCCTAAAAGTTTTATTTATTATACCTAAATCTGACAGTTCATTGATAAATTACTTTATTGTTGCAATTCCTTAGTCATGTGCTAGTAGATTACTATTACTTTTTTAAATAAAATTCTGTTAGCCTCAGTTCCTGTTTCCCACCTGATGATGCTAGGTAAACCTGGTAAAGTGTTGTGAATAAAATAAAGTTTTACTATGTACAACTGATAAAAACTTGTGTGAATTTTAAAAATATAGTTCTTTCTAATATTTATATGAGGAAAGCTGGAATGATGTATTCATTTCATTAAAATAACTGCCAAACAGTTCATAACTTCACTTTCACAAACATCATCTTTTAAATTCTGTGCTTTATCAAATTTTAGTCAGAATACCTACTTAATATGCAAGGACATTAGTCATACTGTATAAATCTATAAGACTTGCAACAGTTACATAGACTAATGTGAATGTATCTTATATCATTTTAGTGGTATCAAGTGATTGAATACCTTGTAGCAGCAAGGCTATTTAAATAATAGCCAAAACAACTGAAAATATAACTGATGAACAGCTTTTTTTCTTTTTCCCTATATATTATTTTAATACCAGATCAAGCTTTATGGTTAATCTAATTTCTTTTAAAATAATTTTACAACAACAAAATGGCACAGAAATTCAAACTTTCTTCAAAGTTTCAAAGATCTTTATAGTGCACATAGAATGTCTTTGTGAAGTTTCTTTCAGAAGTGCATACTTTAGCAACTGCATGATCTTGCAGAATTTTATAGGAATATGATTATTAGAGCTGGGTGATTTAATTGATCACCTATGAACAGCAATTACATTAATTAGCATCATGTATGAAATTATGATTAAATCAGTGTTATGAAAATAATCAACTAATCAAGATTAGGTTTTATGATTATTATTATTTTTGATAATTCCAACTATATAAGTAATCAAAATATTGCTATTATATTTGTTTTTTAGCACAAAACTACATAATTTTAGTCTTATAAATTTGTTTTTTTTACTTCAAGTTTATATTATGTGAAGAGTCATTGCATGTTATAAAGCAGAAAACTAATGAGAAGAACAATAATTTAAATTATAAAAGAAACTGCTTTTTTTTTAATTATTACACACTTGCTGTTTTCATTTGATTCTTTTATTGGTTCATTTTGTAATACTATGGGAACCACAAGCAACCTTAAAAAAGATCTGATGGAAAACTCAGAAATATCTTCTACATGTGTACATATAAAAATATTGATGAACCAAATTCATGTTTTTTTGTAAATAACTTTAATTATCTTGTAGGTTTAGTACCTGGAATAGATGTTTTAAAATGTCCTTTACTTTAAAAATGCAACTGTAGATATAGAACATACACCACAAAAAATATAAATTATACAATTTGTACATTATTTTTTTGTACACATATAGTTTTGCAAGACTTATTTAATGATGTAAGACTAACAAGTAATAAGAATAAAATAAATGAATAATGTATGTACATGTACATACACTGTTAAATGATGAATGTTCTAGCATATTCTCTCAATCCCTGCTGAAACACAAAAACATCAATAATTCAAATGAAAATTTCTGAAAAATCATTATGATAAAATATTACTTGTTTTTAAATTCAGATATTTACCTTTTTAGCTAGCTGACTTTCTACATTCTTTTGTATTTGTTGCATGTTTTTTAATTCACTGGATGATGCTTGATGTGCTGCTTTGATTTTTCTAAATACAAGAATTCACACAAGTTACATCTTTACATGCAATAATCCTCCAAATCTTGTTATTATGGGACACATACAAACAATTTCATGCATACATTGTCATATCATAATTTCACATTAAACACAATACTGTTGTGCATTTGTAATTTTCCAGATTTAAGATAAATAATAAAACACAATCTGATACACACAATAAAAAAGAGGCTGAAATTTTACAGGTAATGTTAGATTTTGCTTTCAGCTGTTTAGCAAAACCTGAAGCTCATAAAAATGCATTATAGTATTTGTCTTTTACCAACCAGTATAGTAGTTACAATGATGCATAGCCACATTAGATTGTTAAAAGAATGTACATTTACCAGCTTTTACATGTAGAAGTTAAGATGTAAATCATCTAACAAATTGTTCAGTTTGAAAATAAAGGAAAAGAAATGTTCTTTTACTATGATATAATTTTGTTGAGTTGATCAAATAAATTACTTAAACTATATTGCTTCATTCTGAGCTACTTTAAAAGCTTAAGAACTTAAACTAGCTTATGGAGAAGAAAATGTTGCCCTTGAGGTGTTATATAAGTATGTCAAATCTTTTCTTACAGTCTTATGCTTTAAAGACACATATTATTTCTATCAATTACACATCAACTCTTTAGCTCCCAGTTGTGTCCACCTGCCTATGAGGCCAAAACTGCACTACTTAATTAAAGAACATTTATAGAAAATAAACTTGTACTCATTCTTCTACAAGTTTGTTTTTTAACCACTCCAGAGTTGACATGTATTCAATAAAAAGTTTTATTTATTTAATTTTTGGTTGCTTTCAATATGCTCTAAATGAAAACATTTGTGTCTGTGGATTTCCTGAATTTTTTTTTCTGATAATAATACAGCACTCGTAGAACCCAAGGACATTGGTTTTCAAACCTTGGGATCCCAAATGGGGTGATGGCAAGCTCTAGTGTTGTCCCATGTTTGGCAGAAAAAAATTAACATATAGCAAAAGAATGCTGAATGGCCTCAGTTGAAATACATTCTAAAATATATGAGATTGCACAGCTTTGGGATGTCTGAAATGGGGTTGGCAATGAAAAAAAGTTTCAGAACAACAGCCCTACTAGAAATGTCAAAATGGTTTTGAGCAAAATAACACCAACTGAAGCCTTCTAACTTCAATACAAGTGTAGTTTTATCAATTTAGTCAATCACCCTTTCTCAACCCTAGGTTACCATGATGTGATGTAACTGTCTATATCTCAGCCTTGAGAAGTTACAGGATCATAATCTAAACACATAATGAAAGCTCTTTCCTTGTTCTTTATTAACTGTATAGGTCAGTATAGCTTCAGTTCAGCAGAGACTTGTGTTATGTTACGATGCAGTATTTTAGTATAACTTAATTATGCGACACTGCGAGCATATCACCTGATCAATGATGTGCTACCTTAATAGTTTCGAGCAGGTGATTAATAATGTGTTCTGTTGTAACGGTTGGTTTTTGTAATGGTAGTTAGATGACTGACTTGTGGCTAGATAGTGTATTTTAAGAAAGATCTTCTGATAATATAAATATAATGAGAGAAAGTTTGTTTGTTTGTAATTAAGCACAAAGCTACACAATGGGCTATCTGTGCTCTGCCCACCACGGGTATCAAAATCTAGATTATAGCATTATAAGTCTGCAGACATACCGCTGTTCCACTGGGGGGCAACAAGAGAAAGAAAGAAAAGAGTTACAAGTTTGAGTTTAGTTTACTTTGCGTGGCCCTTTCAGACAAAGATTTCTGTCTCGACTTCAAAGAGTTTGTGAACCTAGGTATTAGTCCTAAGTTTTTCTGAAAGCTTGTTTTATCATTTTATACTTCATTTGAATTATGATGTTGCAATATGATAAATAAACGTTTTTCATGGAACAAGATGAGGTAGCCTAGTTAGACCACTTTTTACTTGACCATACCAAATTTTCTTTCACTGACAAGAATGCTGTTCTGAGACTGTGTTTATATTACGAATTATTAGCCTATGTAACTGCTCGCATGGGCAAATGTAGTGACCAGAATAAAACAACCCATGCAACAGGTACATCAAATAAACTATCCAGGTGTTTTAGATTTATTTTCATTGTTATATTTCCTGCATCAGCGATTACTAATCAATGTGTAGAAAGCACAAATGTTTTATAAATTGGAAGAAACCTCTAGGTTAAAATTTGAGTTAAAAATAAAAGTTTAAATTTCTGGTGCCTGTTTTCTTTTTTGTACATAAACTGATATAAAAACGTTAAATCACAGAAAATCTGCAAAAATGCCTTTTCTTAACCACAGTTGTGACAAAGATAAGATAAAACTGATCACCCATCACATCCCTAACCCATGGTTACCAGTTTCATGTAGATATTAATTCAACATGATACATGTTGTGGTTCTTTTATCATGATACATTTAACTACATTAATTTGTTAGTATTGTAAACACAAAATGATGCACTAATAAAGAAACATGAAATTTTGCTTAAAATGTAACTGTTAAATCTGAAACGTCAAATGCACTGTTTAATATGTTCATTCATGTAA